TGACAAAAAAAAACCCAACAAAAAGAACAGGAGCAACTTAGAGTTCACATTACTGAACTAAAGAAGCAGAAAGATTGCTGTAATTGCAGTGTTTTAGATAATCTAGGAAGGAAAAGAAAAAGTCAGGGATCAAAAGAGGATAAATTCAGTACTTGAGATGTTGATGACTATTCAAAAATTATGTAATTGTTTTTCAGAAGTTTTTTGCAATAGCAAACAGATAAGTGTAAAAAATTGCCAGGATGGAGAATAATGTGAATTAGCATGAATTGGTGAAGGCTTCTGTATGAGGGAACAAAATGGAGAGGAGGTGAAAGTCACAGGAAGGTTTCAAATTGTCATGTGAAAGATGCTGATTTTTCTGAGATTGTTGCATCAAGTCTAATTGAGAATGAACAGCCCAGAACATGTAGCCACAGTTCAAGGGTATCTGTAAATGATAAGTCTTCTTGGACTCCATAGTGTTTTACTCTAACACAGATTTCTTCACCTGTGAATCTGCAAGTATAATACCTTAGCCACAGTAATTTACAGGAAAATTTTCCTGTGTTATTTTCACAAACTCTGCCTAGAAGTAAAACTTATATTTTACAGTTTATACTCAGACTTCAGATAATTTCTGTGAAGTACTAATGCTTGAAGTATGGAAACAGAGGTAGAAGAAGATCACACAAAACAATACTATCTAACCAGATTGACATAATGTATTTTAAAATGAGAACAAATATCTCACTTTTCAAATTTATTTCCACTATGAAAAATGTGTTTGCAATGGACACTGATGTTCAGGATAGCATGTAATGAAGTGTGCAAGCTAATATGTTGTGACATCTGATAATAGTACCAGTTTCACATAATTTTAAATATAGTGCAGTTTTTGGTTTTGTTGTATAGTTCAAATGGCAAAGCTGAATCTTTGCCTGATGGAGGTTAGTGACATTCAGTTAAGCTCAAGAGAACCAGGTGTTACTCATGAAAGAAACTGTTAAGGCCTAGAGTCACTACTCCGAGCTTGTGGAAGACAGTAATTTTCTTGACAGAAAAAACTTTTTCATGAAAAAAAAAAGATTGCATTCCCAAGACAGAAGTGCCTTATTATCAGTAAAAGAAACATTCAAAAGCCGAAAGCTTTCTGGTCAGATTGGATAGTCCAAACTGAGAACAAGCAACTACCAAATTAATTTCTCTTTGCAGTAGTACTCCCTAACTACAGTTTTTGGCATTCAGTGAAGATTCCTGGGTTTAGTGTATAAGCAAAGGAAATTTGCTTCTAGGGAAAAAAAAAAGAGCGCTTTTTTTTTTTTTTTTTTTTAATCTTCATCATCCCTAGCATGATGGTGTAGAGAAAGACTGAGTATAATTGCAGCAATGAAGAGTCACAGAAGTAACTATGGAGTTCAAAGAAGAATGTGAAATGTAGACTCATTGAAAACAATTAAAATCAACTGAAGACCTTCAGTAGCCATTAAATGGAAGATGCATGTCAAAGCAGTAAGTCATAGGATCATAGAATCATAGAATGGATTGGGTTGAAAGGGACCATCAAAGATCATCTAGTCTAACCCCCCCGCCATGGTCAGGGAAATCTTTCACTAGATCAGCTTACTCAAAGCCCCATCTAACCTGACCTTGAGCACTTCCAGTTGTGGGGCATCCACAACTTCTCTGGGCAACCTGTTCCAATGTCTCACCACCCTCATTGTAAAACATTTCTTCCTTAGGTCCAATCTAAATCTACCCTTTTTTAGTTTAAAGCTGTTGCCCCTTGTCCTGTCACTACAGGCCATAGTAAAAAATGTCTCTCTGTCTTTCTTATAAACCCCCTTTACATACTGAAAGGCCTCCATATGGTCTCCCCAGAGCCTTCTCTTCTCCAGGCTGAACAACCCCAACTCTCTCAGCATTTCTTCATAGGAAAGGTTTTCCAGCACCTGATCATTTTCACAACCTTCCGCTGGACCTGCTTCAACAGGTTCATCTCTTTCTTGTACTCATCCAGAGCTGGATGCAGTACAGGTGGGGTCTTACGAGAGCAGAGTAGAAGAGGAAAATCATCTCCCTTGACCTGTTGGCCACATTTCTTTTGATGCAGCCTAGGGTATGACTGGCTTTCTGGGCTGCAAGCACACATTGCTGGCTCATACACAATTTTTCACCCACTAATATTCCCAAATCCTTCTTTGCAGGGATGCTCTCAGTCCCTTCATCTTGCAGTCTGTGCCGATATTGGGGTTTGCCCTGATCCAGGTGCAGGACCTTGCACTTAGCCTTGTTGAACTTCATGAGATTCTCATGGGCTAACTCCTTAAGCCTGTCAAGGCCCCTCTGGATGGCATCCCTTCCCTCAAGCATATCAACTGCACCATTCAGTTTGGTGTGACCTTCAAACTTGCTGAGGCTGCACTCAGTTCCACTGTCTGTCATTGATGAAGATATTGAATAGTTTTGGTCCCATTACCTTTAGTACCCTTAAGGACACTAGTCATTTCTCATTTCCACTTGGACATTGAGCCATTGACTATAAGTCTTTGGACACTGTCATTTAACCAGTGCCATATTCACCTAACAATGCACCCATCAAACCCATATCTCTGCAATTTAGTGACAAGAATGTTATGTGGAACCTTGTTAAAGGCCTTACAGGGGTCCGGGTAGATGACATTCATAGCTCTTCCCTTGTCCACTGATGTAGTCATTCCATCATAGGCCATTAGATTAGTCATGCAGTTTGCCCTGGTGAAGCCATGTAGACTGTCTCTAATCACTTCCCTTTCTTCCATATGTTTTGACCTCTCTTCCAGGAGGATCTGTTCCATGATCTTAATGGACACAAAGGTGAGGCTGACTGGTTGATAGCTCCCAGGGTCGTCCTTTTTACCTTTTTTAAAAATGGGCATGATGTTTCCCTTTTTTTCAGTCACTAGGGACTTTGCATGACTGCCACAGCTTTTCACATGTTATAGAATCATAAAATCATAGAATAGTTTCAGTTGGAAGGGACCTTTAAAGATCATCTAGTCCCACCCCCCTGCAATGAGCAAGGACATCTTCAACTAGAGCAGGTTGCTCAGAGCCCTGTCCAGCCTGACCTTGAATGCTTTCAGAGATGGGGCTTCTACCAGCTCTCTGGGCAACCTGTTCCAGTGTTTCATCATGCTCATTGTAAAGAATTTCTTCCTTCTATCTAGTCTGAATCTACACTCTTTTGGTTTAAGACCACTACTCCTTGTCCTGTTGCTACAGGCCCTGCTAAAAAGTTTGTCCTCATCTTTCTTATAAGCCCTCTTTAAGTACTGAAAAGCTGCAAGAAGGTCTCCCCAGAGTCTTCTCTTGTCTAGGCTAAACAACCCCAACTCTCTCAGGCTTTCCTCATAGGAGAGGTGTTCCAGCCCCCTGATCATTTTCATGGCCCTTCTCTGGACCTGCTTCAAATGGTCCATGTCTTTCTTGTATCAAGGACTCCGGAGCTGGATGCAGTACTCCATGTGGGTTCCCACCAGAGCAGAGTAGAGGGGCAGAATCACCTCCCTTGACCACTTCTTTTGATGCAGCCCAGGGCACTGTTGGCTTTCTGGACTGCAAGCACACATTGCCAGCTCATGTCCAGCTTTTCATCCACAAGTATCCCCAAGTCCTTTTCCACAGGGCTGCTCTCAATCCCTTCATCCCCCAGCCTGTATTGATACCAGTGGTTGCCCCAAGCCAGGTACTTGGCCTTGTTGAACCTCATAAGGTTTACATGGGCCCATTTCTCAAGATTGTCCAGGTTCCTCTGAATGGCATCCCATCCCTCAGTCCAGCACACCACTCAGCTTGGTGTCATCTGCAAACTTGCTGAGGGTGCACTTGATCCCACTGTCATTGATGAAGATATTAAACAGTACTGGCCCCAGTGCAGACCCCTGAAGGACACTACTTGTCACTGATCTCCATCTGGACATTGAGCTGTTGATGGCTACCCTCTGGTTGCGACCATCCAACCAATTCCTCATCCACCAAACAGTCCACCCATCAAATCCATATCTCTTCAATTTAGAGAGAAGGATGCTGTGGTGGAGTGTGGCTCTCATCAGGTCCCATGACTGCATGTATATTCAGGAACTTCAGGTCATCTTGAATTTGATCTTCTCCTATGATGGGTGGGAAATCATTCCCCCAGTCCCGGCCTTGAGATTCAGGGACTCAAGAGATGTGGTAAGAGCAACTGCCAGTGAAAACTTAGGCAAAAAATTGTGGAGTACCTCAGCTTTCTCCATGTCTGTTTTCACCACCTCTCCTTCTTGTTTACCAGCACAGGT